CAAGTACAGGAAATGAAAGTATACAATTGAAAATTACGTAAGAACCCAGTTCTCAAGAATATACAATTTTATGTTAAATGTATGATAATATTTTATTGCATGTAGGAAAAAGAAAAGAAAACTAATGGACATGACAGCCTAATAATAAAGAAGCAAAAATACGAAAAATAATAAGACTACTAAAGTTTTATTTTGGTTCACGATACTCACTTTAGCAGCATAACACGCTGCACTGAAGAGCAGCCTTCCGTCAGTAATAAGACCCTTCTCCTCCAATCTTCTCTTTATCTGTTCGCGTGCACCAATATAAGTAACACCATATACTGAGGTCATCACAGTCTGTTTGACAAGTTTTCTATCCACCTGATAAAGCTTTCAAACATTCAAGTTCTTGATATGCATGATATGTCCTAAAAACTTAAAAAAANNNAAAAAAAAAAAAAAAAAAAAAAAGAGCTATGGGGAAAGAAAAATTTTCACCTGACCGATCAAGAGTTTGGCTAGCAAAGCATTTGAATCTTTTGCTGGGTCCTTTTCGCTGTCTCTTTTCATGATATTAAGAACCCTGATAATTAATTTTAAAAAAAATAAATAATCCTATCTGAAAATAGAAGAAAAATAAAAGGAAACGCATGCACTGCAAAATTGTACCATTACAAAGACAAAAGGAACACAGAGGCGGAGCGTCATTCATCAACTCAAAATTATAAAAGAAAAATGCATACATCAACTCAACAAACCTCTCTGCGATTTCTGAATAAACATCGGCAGGTTTGTCCCCAGCAACTAAATTGACTGCAGCAGCTTCAAACTGAAAATAAGCAAAAAATCAAACTCTTTAAGGAACAATCTGTTAAGTGCAAAATAGTATAGCTGGAAAGAACCATCTGCTATCAAAATCATGCTTATTTCACTCATTTCATTCAGATCATTACAACAAATAAGGATTTATTTGTCACTCGGAACCTCATAATTAATGATGTTTCAAGAGTAGAGGAAACATACTCCAGTTTTTCAATCACTTCCAAGTATTATGGACATCTCATGAAAAATCTTACACCCTGAACACATGAATAAACATGTATGGAAAAATACGTGCTGAAAAATATGACATACACTATTCCTTCCAAGAGCTGCATAATGTTGCAATCCATTGCACGATCCATCCTGCAATAGAAAGAAGAATTACAATTCACAACATACTAAAATGTAAATAGCCCTACAACAATCACATAAGGGAGTGACTGATACTTTAAAATGTACTCAAAAAAAAAAAAAACACGGGACTTGTCAACTTGGAACAATATTTGTCTGATGTTTTAACAGCTGAACAAATTATTTCAGGGACTTTAAGCTTTTGTTAGGAGTAACGGAAGTCTTCATATCACTATATTATGTGAATCCAAATCTCACTTACTACCAAAATTTCAAGGAGCTACAATATGAGCTTCAAAGAAGCTTCTTTTCTCATGAAACTTCTTAATTTCTTATCTTATCCTTCAAAAACATCTTTCTTCAGTAATTCCAAAATTCTTTAAAGAAAAAAATCATCTAAAGGCGTGTCGGTGTGTACCAGATGAATGGGCAGGTGGGAAATAACAGTGCATGGGGATGAGCTTCTTAAGGCTTCAGACAGATTAATACATGCGGCTAAGCACTGAAAAGGATCTTCAGCCTTTAACCACCATCGATTTCCATTCAGAGAATTATCGGCAGAGTCGAATATTTCTGCTAAATTGTTTTCCACAAACGAGAGGCGACCATCATAAGAAAGCTTATCGGCACCCCCACCATAGAGATTTGCTAAATGTACTTTTAACCAATTTAAACCAGATCTCCCCAATGGCTTTCCTTCAGAATATTCGAGTGTTCCTCTGCAGAGATCAGAACTTAGATGATTAAGATGGGGGTGCATAGGATATGCACGGCCTCGAAAGTCAAGATTGTGCGGAAAGTAAAACCCTTCCTCGTCTTTCAACTTCCGAGCAACCTGATTCACAAAACCCCAATTCAGAGTCTATGACAAAGATCATTTTGAGGGGATTCATTTAAACTCGTTATTCTCTAGCAACGCTTAGGATACCTTATAATTGCGTTCATTAGAAATCCTAATTATGTTTCGTTAAGAATTCAAATTCAGACATACAAATTAGTCCTCCCTTTAGCAATAAAGCAACATATGATTTTTTTTGTGTGTGTATGTGTGTGTGTGTGAGAGGGAGAGAGAGAGAGAGAGAGAGAGAGAGAGAGTACATGTATACTAAAAATGTATTAAAACTTTCTAGTTCGAATATTTGCTTTTGGATAGATTTTTCAGCATGCATACACTGAGTTATCGTGTTTCCAATCTATAATTCAAGCTATCTCTGGTTGTTTTATTTTTATTACTATTATTTTTTTATTATTAATTTTGGTGTCCGAGCACTCTTTATTTCCTTTAGATTATCCAAAAGCAACCCAAGTATGGGAACCTATTGCAAGAAAAAAAAAATGATTTTTTTCTTAGAATTTAACATACGGAGAGCTTTAGTTCAGTGTCACATCTTTCAGAATGTCTTTCACGATTGATTTTTTGCACATTCCTCACACTCCATTTCCACTTCTTTACTTCTTCTGCATCATCCAAGAGAAGCTCAGGTATTGGAACCTATAGCAAGAAAAATAATATTTACCATCACAGAAGATAAGCAATTAAGAAAATATAATAGGTAAAATATACAAGAGAACAAAAGACGTTCAGTATGTTTGTTTATAGAAATTTTTGGTTTTGTTTGAATTTTTTAGTTTGGTTTGGTTAATTTTGAAAAAAGTAGTATGGTTAGTTGTTAGTGGATATATTAAAATAATATTTAAAATAAAATAATTAAAATGATTTGATATAAAAGTAGGAGAAAGATTGTTTGATGTGATGGTTAGTTAAAATCATGTGAGTGGGTGAATAGTGAATTAAGGTTGATGTGGTGTGTATAAATGATTGATTGATATTATTTAATTATATTGATAATAATTGATGATAGTAGAGTTGAGTTAAAGTTGAGTTAAAAAAAGTGGTTGAGTTAAAATGTGAGAATTTTTTGAAATTTTCTATAAACAAACATGCTCTCAAGGACTTACATCTTCACGGTTTACCAGGCCAGCAAGGTTTCCACCTGAGTCCCAAATGCTCTCAACAACTCCTAATATATGTTTATTCACTCTCCACTTGGTGTTTCCTAGAGTATCAAGGGCCTACATAATAAAGAAAAACGAATATATTAACGCACCGCGAAGAAATTGTAAAGAGTGTTGTTTCAGTTGCATATATTACCGTATAGAAGAAAATTTTACTCATTAGCAAGTAAAATGCATGGATGCTAGCCTTAATATGTCACGGGTAAAAAATAATGAATATGCAAATGTCCAAACTATACTAGATAAAAAAGCCACTCGCTCAGTTACATACATCGTAAACTTTCTGCATTTGTTTTGAAGGAACAGCTTTGAGAGCTTCCTGTTGCTTCCTTGAACCACGAGTACGCATTAAATAAGAAGGTAAAAACAGGTAACCACCCTTGTCGTACCTGAAAAGACGATTAAGATAATAAAAAATTGCCACAAATCAGTGACTGACAGACACACTACCCCTTAATTTAGCTATATTTTAGATAGACGGGCTACAAAGAGCGACGTACTACCCCTTCCATTTCTCGGGTGGCACCAACATTGGCACATACGGAATGTCCATATGTCTAACCTGCAGAAACCAGAATCATTGATATATCAAGAAAGTTCCACGAGCTAGCATTTAATTTCAAGAAAATGGAAACAACAAGGTAAACAAAGCTTCAAATGAGCAATCTGAGCCAACAAAAAAAAAAAGGTAAAACTCACAGCTTGATCAAGCCCAGAAAGAACCAGGGGATCACATTCTATGACTCCGCACTTCTTCACATTGTTCTTTCTGAAGGAGACAAAAGATCACCATTACGATACACTGACAAGGTCATTAACATAAATGAACTAGGACAAAAAAACTAATAGTGATGGTTTTCCCTACAAAACATTGACCACATGACTTCTAATGCATACACAACTTCTAATGTTGACCGTGATACATTTAAAGAAGATATAAAATTATAGCAGACTTCAAGTAAAATTCTAACCCTGATCCTCTCTTCAATAAGTGCCTGAATGCAGGCCGAACGTCAGGGGGACTTTCAGCTGACTGTTCAACGGGTGGTTGTACATAAGCACTTTGAATTAACAGTTGTAAAAGGCAACATCCCAACTGCACAACATAGACATAACTTCTCAAAAACAATTTGACTTGAGCTGTAGAACTCTATGAAATCAACATAAAACAATACTGCGTATTTGTGGATATACTGAAGGCTCCAAACCTTAGCCTGAGCATTCTGACCCCATGACTTAACTTCACTTCTGACTATTTTTTGTACTTCAATGACACGGTGGCTTCTGATTAAACTCTTCACACGACTTCTCAAAATTGCATCTTCCTTACTTAAATCTACCTGGCTTTCATCAGTATCTTCTATTCCTCGATGCTTTTTTGTTTTCTTCAAGAAATTATGAATTTTAACCTGACGAACAGAACCCAATTTAAAAATAAAAATAAATAACAATGATTATCAGCAGTACCAGTACATGATAAAGTTATAACCAAGGAAAATAGAAAATCATCCCAATCTGATGAGAACGTATAAAACATCAAGATGAAAGTGATAGCGCAACATAAAGTATTTCTTAAAACAAAATAAAAAAAATAAATGTGCACTCACTCACCTCATGCTCGATTGCTGACCCGATTTGAAGGGCGGCCTCCAGCACACGAACACAACTGCCGTCCTTCCCACCCATCATCAGCAACCCCATCAACTTATGCATCACAATGACCGCCATTTTTTCGGCTGGCAAAGCATCTATAAAAGGCGCGTATGCCTCCTTGTTCTTTTTCGACCTCTGCAGATTCTGCTCCATCTCGATGGCCGACCTCAGAGGCTCAAACCAGCCCAGGATAAATCGCTTCACGTGAGGCAGGTTGGGCGCCAATTTTTTCTCGCACATTTCTCTCTCCATCTCACGGTACTCCGCCGTCATGTTCTCCCACGCCTCCGTCTCCGCCTTCACCTGCCGCCGCCGGAGCAAATGGTACTTCCGCCTCTCCATTTCCTGAAATTCTATTTTGACCCCGCTCCGGCTCCGGTTCCTGAAGAGCAGGCTCTTGTCGAAGAGAGACGAAATCCATGGCGGGTCCTGAATGAATATCCGGCCGTCCGATTGTACAGCCGGGTTCAGGCGGTACCCGTTTGGGATTAACTGCAGGGTGAACAATTTGTGAGGATTTTCCGCGAAGTTGTCGTCGGTGGGGTCCGATACGGTCGGCGGGAGGATCGGGTCGGGGCTGTGGAGGGACGGAAGTTTGAGGGTTTGAGGGAAAGAGGAAGAGGGGCGTCGGGGTATTTGGGAATAACTGGGAATCTCGGGGCCCGACATGTGAATAAAGATAGGATTTTTGTGGGTTTTCCATGGATGATAATTGGAGCTGTTGGCCTTGGCCTGGCGGAGTTGAGCTATGGGGCTCGGTGAGAATGGAACGGTGGACGCCATGGCCGAAGACTAGTGTGTAGTAGATAAAGTTTCTAAGAAAAAAAAGAAACAATTTAAAACCTCTACTAAACCCCACCGGACATTAGCCTCAGATATTCACCAGTTATAAAATCTATCAAGTTAATCACATGAGGCAACTTTTACACCCAAAAAAACGAAGGCATTTTGTGAATATGTTACACTATGCTATGGATATATGTTATAGTTATACGTCTATTTGCTTCGTACTTTATGAGGTTAAAAAATATAGATTTGTCAAATAGGCTCAGGTCCGCAGACTCGGCTGAAACTTCAAATGCCCACGCGTGGAACCGAGAGCCACAGGCCACGGACCGGCCCGTCTTTAAAAAAAATAGAGAAATTTGCACTATGTACTTCAATATTCTAAATATATTATAATTATAATTATACACCTAATATAATAATATTTATAATTTTACTAAAATCAAACTTAAAATATTGTCAATATGCATAAAGGACGGTTTAAGTTAAATGAGCTAATTAAGGAGAAGTTACTGATTTCTCTCATCAATAATATTTCTCCTCCAAAAACGTACCCACCGCCCCACGTTCACCGCAAAAAACATCCTCTAATTGGTTTTCTCTTACTACTCTATGGGGAAGACAAAGGTCCCTCCCAATACTCGAAAAAAACAGTCGAATGTCGGTGATGGAACACCACAGATAAACCGTCGAATGTCGGTGAAAAACCATCATCGAGACCCCGTTAAGCAACAGCACTCCTCGTCGACCTTCGTTCAGCGGTCGAACAGCTGCACCGTCATCTTTCGTTGGCGGTCCTCGAAACAGCACTCCCCATCGAAATTTTCAGACGAGCAGCAACCGACCCTTTTCAGTGAGCAGCGGTCGGTTCTTTTTTTACGAACCCCAGCCATTTGCCAAGCCAACACTTGGAGCGACCGTCCGAACTTGAGCAGCGGCACTTTCGGCCCTCGTCGGTCCTTCGCTGGATTTCTTTTCGAGCAGCCCGTATGTGTGAGGGGAACCCGAAAGAGCAGCGGCCTTTTTACTTTTCCTCTTTCTGACGGGTTTATGTTAAGTTCAATTAGGGCTTGAGTGATGTGGATTAATTAGGAGATTTTCCGCGCATATAAAGATGGATAAGAAATTTGAGGCTTGAGTAATGTTGATTAATGAGTTGTTTTCAGTATAAGTTCGGTATACATATATAAACCCATAAAATTGGAGTTATTTTTTTATATGTTCGGTATATATATGTAAACCCAGAAAAATAATATATGTTCGGTATACATATGTTTTGTATATTTGGTGTATATATATAAACCCAAAAAATAGTATATGTTCGGTATACATATGTTCGGTATATGTTCGCCTGGATCTGGTGTTATTTTTCAGTATATGTTATGTATATATTCGGTATATGTTTGTTTCGGTTATTTGTGCATTTTATAGGTTTTATATGTTGAATGATTATCCCAATATTCATTTTATGTAAGGCGTGAAAAGTGTTCACGAGAAAAACTCATAAAAACTAAATCCCCGTTGATTTGTTATGTGAGATTTAAAGTGTTATTAAAATTCTGACCATATTTAATTTTTTTTTTATGAATAGGAATTACCTAAAAAGTGGAGTTGAATCCCTTTTATTATGGTAACACATACTCTCGCATTAAGACAAACAGTATACGCATAATATACTGATTTCATAGGGTTACAAATATTTTATCGTTAATTGTAGGTTTGTAATTATCTGTAAATCACGTAGGGGGTGTAAATTTCCCCAAAAAAAAATATATATATATATGTCAAATAGTTTAAGTTTGGGTCAATATCATTTGGCCCTCATATGGTACATATAAATATTTTAATTCAAAATTTAACTAAAACTTAAATAAACTCAACATTCCTCAATAATATCGATATAACAACAATATCAATCCATCGTCCTCACGCATCACATCAAGTTTAATTTACTTTATCTACTCACATAATTTTAACTACTTCAATAACATATTTATTACTTTTACATCAAATCAAGGTTAATCGTTATATTTTAAATATTTTTTTTAATACACTTAATTATTTTACCAACCACTCGTGTAGTACACTGATATTGTACTACTATCATACTTAAATGAATATTAATATAAACAGGAGTATGACCTCTTATAGTATAAGTATATATTTTTGTTAAAAAATATCTGATATTTATGCCATCTTATACAAGAATGTGTGAGTGTCAAAGGTGAAAGAAAACATAGCAAGCATAACTCAAATATAAAGATTTTTACATATTTAAATTCCTCGTATGTGTGCAAATAATATTCATAAATTTTGTAAATTCGCTAATATGTTTAATGGAGCCATAAAAGTGCAAATAAAATGTTGTGGGAACGTGTGAGGAGTAATTTCCTCAACACAAAAAGCCTTTACATAAGATTGGATATCGTATGGGCTGGTTTCATAAAAATACAGCTTTGGCTCAAAACACTTTCTTCATATAATTTGATTTTTTTTTTTTTATCTTGGACTGGCTGCAGCCCATGAGTAATTCACTGGCCCATATAAAACATGAAATGAACAAATCCAATCGTCCAAATGAGAGTTTTTTTTTTTTGGTACAGGGACCTTCCGGTTTTCAGATCCACAGGGACCGACTAATCTGGAATCGAGCCGGATAGAACCACAAGGGCGGCAAAGCTCTCCCTCAAGAGTTTTAACACTGCTGCATTCCAGGGCTTGAACACGAGACTACTAGTTAAGCTGGAAGAGACTCAAATCATCTCATCCAAGCGCTCTTGGATTATTATAATGAGAGTTTGAAAACAAATTAGTATAACTAATCACGAAAATTAAGAGAAAATTGTCCCATACACCATACATTTCAGTTTTTATCACACAATTAAACATCTATTTTAAATATCAGCAATACAACATAAAATCATCTTTTTATTTTGTAAATATACAAAAAAACTTTTGTATCAGTCTCTCACCTAAATCACGTGTCTCTCTCCCTATCTCTTTTCTTCTTCTTCTATATCTCCCCCTCTCATTTTTTTGCTCTCTCTCTCTCTCTCTCTCTCTCTCTCTCTCTCTCTCTCTCTCTCTCTCTCTCTCTTCTTCACACACCATATCTATGGTGAGAACTCATTCTCGAGGCAAAAAAATTCATTGGCCTTGTGGTAGACGGTGGGTTGATGGAAGTGGCGCGTCGGCGGGCTACTTGTGCATAGCTGGAGAAGGTACGTAGACAATGAGAAGCGACAACTAACGATCGCGGTCGCAGAGATGATGGATTCAGGCGACGGTCGTCGGAGGTGGGTGTGCGATGGTGCTAGGAGTCTGAAGGTGCTACAAAGCGTGACTGATCGAGAACTCGTCCTCGAAGCCGATGATTGGCGGCTGTTACACAATGTGTGTTTAAAATACAACGGGAACCTATGAACTGACTGAAATGTTCAGTTCGTACAAGAAGAACTAAAAGAAGAAATGAAAAATACAACTCGAATGCGGACAGATTAGAGCCGAGGCGATTGAAATCTTTCCGCAAGACAAATACGCCCCGTATAGTGCTGACGGGTCTGTGCATAATGCCCCCAAAGATACAACGGCTAAACACTCGGAAGCTGTAGCACACCAGCCTTCAGAGTTCCGGCGAACGGGACTGAAGTCGAGAACTGAGCACTTTTGATATGATGCGTGAGACTTTGATAGTATTCAGATGCATGCAATGTTGTCTCTTTTCCTCTGCAATTCTAAGTCCTATTTATAGGACTTCCACCTTGAGGGAGAATCAGGAGTTACATCAGTCACTAAAGGCTGAGATAAATGGGCACCATTAACCTGAAAACGTTTCAGGTATTACTCCACCATTAACCTGGTGCTACTACACCTTTAACCA